ATTCTGGACACAAGTAATTTGTCAGATATATACAGATGGTTTCTGACTGACAGTGGCTCAACTTACGATTTTTTGACTCTATGACAAGTTTATCAGGGTGTAAAATGCACCTCCAACTTAACAATATTTTCAGCTTACAATGGGTTATTAGAGAGTAGCTCCATTGTAGTAGGGGAGCATCTGTATGCTGCAATTTTTTTCTTTCAGTTTGTCATTTACTTTTTCATTTTCTTAATGTCTTTGTATGAGCAAAAGTTTTTAATTTTTTCATGGTTAGTGAGTTGACATCTTTTAAAAAATTTTTTCAATTTATAAGCATTGTATATTTCTCCATTTATTTAGTTCTTTTATCTCAGCAAATGTTCCAGAATTTTCAGTTTATGGGTCTTACTAGTTTTTGGTAAATTTATCCATGAGTATTTTATGTTTTTTGATGTAACTGTAAATGCAATTATTTTAAAATTTTTATTTTTTAGTTGGTTTCTTCCAGTGTATAGAACTACAAGTGATTTTTGTTTATTGAGATTGCAAAACTTAAGTTCTAGTAATCAATTTAATCAACTTGATTTCTTAGTAATTTTATGTAAACAATCATGTCATCTGTGAATAATGTTCCTTGTCTTGAAATCCACTTTCTGATATTAATATAGTCATACCAGTTTTTTTATGCTTATCTTTACATGCTATATCTTTGTCCATCCTTTTACTCTACCTATCATTGCCTTTGTATTTGAAGTGTGTTTTCTTGTAGACAGTATATATTTGGGTCTTGCTGTTTTTTCAGTCTGAAATTTTCTATCTTTTAATTTATATTTTTTGGTCCATTTATATTTAATGTAATTACTCATATAGTTGGCTTCCAGTCTACCTTCTTGTTATCTGTTTCCTCATTGTCTCATTTGCATTTTTATTACTCTATTGTTCTTCTTCTCTCTTTATTTTGGCTAACCAAAAAAACCTTTAATCTTTATTTTATTTCTTCTATTGCCTTTTTAGCTACACTTTCTGTATTATTATTTGGTGGTTTCTTTAGGCTATTCAGTATGCATTCTTCACTTATTACAATCTACTTAGTATCATACCATTTTATGTATGATACAAAAACTTAAAACAATGAAATTTCATTGATCCCAAATTTTATACTATAGTTGTTATATACTTTACATGTACATGTGCAGTAAAAACCACCACACAATATTATTATTTGTATTTTATTGAGTTGTCTTTCAAAGAAATTTTTTAAAAAGACAATCTTTTTGCTTAACTAAATACCACTGCTCTTCACTATTTCCTGTAGATCTGTTTCTAGCTGACAAAATTAATTTCCCTGTCACTTGAAATTTTTACCCCTAGCATTTTTTCTATTATGCAGGTGTGCTGCTGACAAATTCTCTAAGCATTCTTTATCTGAAAATATACTAATTGCAAAATTAATTTCCCTGTCACTTGAAATTTTTACCCCTAGCATTTTTTTTATTATGCAGGTGTGCTGCTGACAAATTCTCTAAGCATTCTTTATCTGAAAATATACTAATTTCACCCTCATTTTTCAAAGATATTGTCTCTAGATAGAATTCTAGGCTGATAAGCTTTAAAAAAAAAAAAACAAAGAAAACTTTGAATATGTTATACCATTATGTTCTGGATTCCATTTTTTCTGTTGAGAAGTTAGTCTTTATTCATCATTGTTCATTTGTATGTATATGTCCTTTTTCTCTGGCCACTTTTAAGATTTTGTCATTATGTTTGGTTTTTAGCAGTTTGGCTATGATGCTTTTCTTTATATATATTCTGCTTGGTGTAGGGAACGTGGATCTGTAAGTCAATGTTATCGAATTTCAGAAATTTTTGGCCCTTATTTCTCAAATACTTTTTCTGCCTCATTGTTTCTCTTCTCTCCCTTTGGTACTTCAATTAAATGTGTGTTAGACTATTTGATATTATCCCACAGGCCACTGAAAGCCACTTCAATTTCTTTTTAAAATGTTTTCTTTGTGCTAATAAGTTTGGATAATTTCTATTGATTTGCCTTCAAGCTCTGGTTAAGCTCATTTCAGATAGTGATCCTTTTAGTTGTAGAGTTTTCATTTGGTTTTTTTATACTTTTCATTTGCCTGCTGAAATATCCTATTGTTTCACTCATTATGACCATTCTTCCTTTAAATTAGCTGTTGGCAATGTTTTTCTTAAAGGGCCAGAGAGTATATATTTTAGGCTAGCTGAACATACAGCCCCTGTTGCAAATATTCAACTCTGCCATTATAGCAGAAAAGAAGCAACAGACAAAATGTCAATAAATAGATATTGCTTTGTGCCAGTATAACTTTATTTATAAAAATAAATGGCAGCCAATCTAATCTGCAGGCCATAGTTTGTTTTAAATCATTGAGCATATTAATTATAGCTGTTTTAAACTCTTTGTCTGCTGATTCCAAAATCTGAGTCATTCTAGGGTCTGTTTCTATTGACAGCTTTTTTAAGTGGGTCACATTTTCCTGTTTCTTTACATGTCTACAATTGTTTCTAATTTGCTGGATATAATGAATTTATATATCATAGAAAGTCTGGATTATGTTTTTGTCCTTTAAAAGGTATTGAATTTTGTTCTGACAGGCAGTTAAATGACTGATGCATCCTCTTATTGGTCAGGCTTGGTTTCAGTCTGTAAAAGATGGTCTGTTTTGGTTTTGAAATTCATCCTAGGATTGTCTCTTCCTCTGGAGCAGTATTGGAAAACTACACCCCACACTTCAGATGCCTGTATTTGTAAATAGAATTTGGTATAACTGTTCTCTTTTCACCCCCCACAATGGACAATCAAAGTAAGGTCTCGCCAAGTCCTTCCCTGTTCGTGTTCAGCCCAGCTCTTTGCTAATTATCTGAGACGAACTGTTGTACATACTTCTGGAGCCCCCTCAGTGCAATGTGCTCTTCTGCAGAGCCCCATTCCACAAATCCCAGTCATGCCTGGTCAGTGAGACCCCTGTTCTGCTAGGGCTCCACTTTGGTGCTATCTAGGAGGAAAGTGCCCAGAAGAAAGCCAAGGCAACTGTGGGCTCATTTCCCTCCCCACAAATAATGCAGCCCTGAACAGCCTGTTTCCGAATACCTGAAAACACCTGCTACACCCACTTGGTCTGGATTTATAATGTTTTTGGCAGAAAGGTAAGTTTTGGTCTCAGATACTCTGTCATGGTTGAAAGCAGAAGTCTTTGGTTTTTCTTGTTATTATCCATATCTTGTGTTAGCATCAGATTTACCAATATTTAAAACACTGGTTGGTGTTGACATGTGATAAGTGCCAGCAAATGGTACTGATGGTACAGGCAGTATAGAGATATGACCTTTTACAGGAATTAAAGATTAAGGCAAACTCAGCCCTTTTTCTATCTTAATTATCATCCTCTTTTTCTGGACAGTGAAAAAAAGGAAGGCAACCGAACTAGGATCTATTCCATACTTATTATTATTTGCTGGACCCTCTGCAGTTATTTTAGTATGCTTTTTCATGTAATATTTAAATCAGTAAAATAATTATTATTATACCCATTTTACAGAAAAGGATGCTGAACCTTAAAGAAGTAAAAACAAGTATGTTTGTAGAGCTAGAATTTAGAATCCCGTCTTTCTCCCTTTTCCACCATGGTGCCTTTTTCCTTATTATTATGATTATCATGATTACTCCACCATGCTGCCTTTTTCCTTATTATTATGATTATCATGATTACCAGAGTTCATTGAGTGCTTACCTTACTTGTTCCACTATAATTGCTATCCCACTGAGTTCATTCCAATTGCTTTTGTTTCGTCCCTTCTTGGTTAGAGGTGGGCCAAGCTTCCACCATGGTGCCTTTTTCCTTATTATTATGATTATCATGATTACCAGAGTTCATTGAGTGCTTACCTTACTTGTTCCACTATAATTGCTGTCCCACTGAGTTCATTCCAATTGCTTTTGTTTCGTCCCTTCTTGGTTAGAGGTGGGCCAAGCTGTCAAGCTCTCCCCATCTTTGGTTCTTGAGGGAATCAGGACAGTCCTGCAGCACTGGATGGGGGTCGTCTTCAGGATGACAAGATGCTGGGCAGAACCTAAGGGCATGCAGAAGCTTCACTCCAGCCTCAGTGATTAACAAGCAACAGGCCAACTGACAGCAACCAGCCTGGTTGGCTCCCATGTGTGTTCCTGTGGAGGGAGAGGCTTGCTGCAAGAGAGGCTTCTGATTGTCCACTTTTTCCTTTCCCTGCCATCCCCCTATCCACTTCCTGTATCCAGCCTGTGGTTTTTTCCTTAAAATCTAATCTCTTGAAGCAGAAGAACTTGTTGCAAAGTACGCAATGGAATCATTTGATTAGACCAGTGCCATTTTTTCCCTTAATGGTTGGGTGTTTGGCCAATGCTTCTGGTGTCCTTAGTGGGACACCAGGGTCCATTTTCTAGGCTGAAGGAGGATAAGGTTCTCATGGTATGAGAAGGTAGTTGGTTAACTCAGAGTTGGGCAGGTAGGTGAGAAACACAAATGTTTCTTGCCAGACATTGAGTGAAGTACTTTATGTATATTTCTCAAAAAAAATGGTGCAGAATCATTAAATATAGAAAGTCTGACAATTTTTATTTCCTGAAAAGTATTTTTTGTCCCTCAATTAAATCTATATGGCTTTCCTCCCTTCTTTTGTTCATATCCCTCGTCTATCCTTTCTCTTCCTATACTTCCTTGGCACAAGGCATATTTAGAATAAAATTTCATTCATTTCTACTCATTCAATTTGAAATATATTGTGCTTTGGAGAGGAACATGTTGAAGTTAACTCTTGGACTATCCGTAATACAAAGGTTTCTCAAGAGTGACAGAAGTAGTCTTAGTTCCTTTTTAGGAAAAAGTGGGATATATATTAATCCTTTAAGTAAAGTGAAGAAATATGTGATTAAGTTATTACATGATTAAAGATGTGAGTGTTCACTGGGCCTCCTGAACTCCTAACATGTTTCTTTTTCTTTGCAGAGCTTTGTGAGGATGAACCACCAAAGATCACATATGCCACATTCAAAGCCTCTGCGTACAAGAATGGCACTATGTTAAACTGTGAATGCAAGAGAGGTTTCCGCAGAATAAGAAATGGATCACCCTACATGCTTTGTACAGGAAACTCTAGCCACTCTTCCTGGGACAACAAATGTCAGTGCATAAGCAACTGTAAGTGGTTTCTTCTGTAACTACCAAGAGAAAGGAAACTGCAGCAAAGAGTGAGACATGGTTCAGCTTTCATCCACTCATCCCTACAGACCTGAGTCAGACAGCCCAGTCCACAGGATAACAAATTCTAGTGGTTCCTGGAATATTCACTCATTAAATAAATGTTTAAATAAGAGCGTCTACTAGTTCCAAGGACTGTTCTAGGCACTGGAGATACAATAGACTCAGCCCTTGAGGAACTTCTATTTGGGGAAACAGGGAGGAGACAGACATGCCACTAATAATTATTAAACAATTAAGTAATAATTCCAGTTCACAACAACATAAATGCACTTAATCTCACTGTACACTTAAAGTGGTTAATATGGTACATTTTGTGTTATGCATATTTTATCAAGATTTAAGTAAAACAAAAATAAAAAAGGAATAGATAGAGTATGAGCCTACTATAAAGAATATTAAAAAAATAAGAACAATTCTTCTTTTTTTTTTTTTTCCTTTTTTTTTTGTCTTTTTTCGTGTCTGGCAATGGATCGCAACCCTCAGTGTTGCGCCCACACCTCGCTCAGCCAGTGAGCGGGAACCAGTCTATATGTGGGATCTGAACCCTTGGCAGGAGCGCCGCCATGCTCCCAAGCGGTGCACTGTAGCAGTGCGCCACTGGGCCGGCCCAAAATAAGAACAATTCTAATGGAGGAATCTGTACCTCCCATTAGACTGAATTAACTCTTCTGTTTTTTTTTTTTGGGGGGGGTTTCTAAAGCTCACACATCATACCCTACACATCCTGATTGATGAAATATATTTATCCCAGTTCTGCCTCAAGTACCAGGGCAGTGTGAATTCTTAGGAACTCCCCATTACACCTCTCCCCCTTCTTCTGGTCAGCAACTATCTCTGCTACCCTGAGGAATAAGTTCTGGGTAGGAAACTGGCACCTGGAGAGTCACTTCTTCCCCTGACAAGGGTGAAGAGGGGAATAGAAACTCATGCTACTGGATTCTAGTCTTATGTGTCACCAATGTTGTTCTCTCCAGGTTCCATGGAACCTTTTGAAGATTTCTTGGGGGCTGGGGGATATTGTCAGAAGAAAGTACTGTCAGTCCAGGGTCTTCCCCTCATTGGCAAGAACTGGCATCCGGAGCATGAGGAATACCCTCAAAGACTCCATATCCCCCCAAAGATTGCTGCCTCTTGCTCCCATCCTGAAAGAGCCCATGGCTGCTGGGGGTGAGGGTGAGGAGCATCAGGAGCCCATGGGCAGATCATCCTGGTATTGGACGAGGCTAAGAATCACTGCGAGAGAAACAGAGATGCAGACAGGATTCACACCGAAATTCTTTATTTCTGGACATCGAAACTTGGCTTGGGAGCATTGTGGCTCTCTCTGTTGGGTGTCATGGGAATCACTGGTGGGCTGAGCATCCCATCCTCATCACGGCTGGTGGAGAAAGCCAAGATGGCAGAGCTGCTGCTGGAATATTGCAGGTGGAAGGCCTCCCTGCAGTGGGATGTGGAGTGAGCGACCCCCAAGATGCCCTCTAAGCCTGGGTTGATCTGATACCAGGATTTTGCTGTTGAACTTTCCTCTTTTAGTCCCAAAAGCTCTCTCACCCAGCCCCATATCCCTAGCATGTCTCTTATCCACTCTGTGATATTAGAATGTGGGAAGAGCATTCATCTTTTTATTTCTTTACCCTGGAGACAGTGTTGGTCAGTGAGTCTCCGTCATCTGCCCCACCCCAGCCATGTGTGGACAGCAAGGTTTGAAGGTCAACAAGGTTGTAAAGCGTGCGGTGCTGTACTTGTGGCACTTAAAAGCCTCTCGCAGCCAATGGCTGTGCATGAGTGAGCTCCGTGACTACGCCTCATCTGCCTACAGATTTCCCAAGTGAATAATGCATAAGTCATAATGTCAAGAAGAAATAGGGCCTGGTAAGAAAAACCGAGCTCTCTGGGAACTGGTTGACCTTCTGAGACCCCATAGTCCTGTGCTAATTTTATAACCTTACAAAGAACTTTATCATATCACAGATCATCTCATTTGAGACTCACAACCCACTGAGTGAGGGAGCAGGAAGTGTTACTTCAATTTACTTAAGAAACTGAGACAAAGAGAACTTAAAAGACTTGGCTAAGCTCACATGATAGAGCTGGGATGAGACCTCAGGTCTCCTAGGTTAGATGAGGGATCTTTCTACCGATAATTTATTTGAAACTAGTTTAAATTTATTTGCAGTTTCCATTATTTAAGTTAAAAAAAGAAAAGAGCTAATCCATAGGTATTGTTGCAAATTAAAAACAAAGGAATGTTTTTATCCCTTTCCTCCTCCAGTTTTGTCCTGGAATATGGTTTCCAAACACGTTTCATTGTTGGGTTTGCTCTGCTTTCCCCAAATTACCCTTCTTGATTATTGTACTGTTTCAGAGGTCAGTGTTTGTTGTCTTTACCCAAGAGATAATCAGCCAGTTCTGGCTGAGGTTGTTTCGCAGATTCTCTTAGTTGGGATGTTTTCATTTGAAAGAAAGAAATCTGATTCACACAGGTTCAGACAGTTATGAATTTTATCAGCTGTAATACATTTTATTCTGAGACTAAAATACAAGTTCAGCCATGATTTGCAAGGTGCTTCATGACAGCAGGCAGCTCGGGACAGGGTGACGGAGCTCCCTGCTGGGCCAGAGGGCTTATGTACGCTGCTTGCTGACGTTATATTGGGTACTTGGGGTTGTGGAGAGTCTGGAAGGTCAGGGCATCTGTGCAGTTTCAAAGTCTGGGGTTAGAGGGTACCTGCAGTTCCATTTGTCCAGATTGGGGAAAGTAGGTGGGGAATTCTGAGATTACATCAGAGCAGGCCATGACTCTGAAGTCAAAGGTCAGTCAAGCCTGGTTTGCAGTAGGATAAATGAAAAGTTACTGGGCATGGGGAATTTTTAGAGGTCTTGACAGGACTCCTGCAGGTCAAGCTTCAGGCATGGCTTGATCTGAGATTCCCTCAGCTCTTCCCTCCACTGGGCTTTGGCTTTGTCCCTAAGTCTTCCGCCATGGTCCCAAGACAGCCACCAGCTGCCACCCAAGAATGCTTCCTCCCGTATCCAGTGGAAACCCAAGGTGGTCTTCATGCTTTGTTGGCCCATACTGACTTGAGCCTGCCCTCCTCCCTTCCTGCTCTCCACCCTGTATCAAAACTCTCACTGTCTTTGAAGAGCACGTTCAGGTGCCTCCTCTGGGGTAGCAACAATTGGAATGAATTACTCATCCCTCTGTGTCTCCCCAGCAAGAGTCTCCTTCTCCACCAGAATTCTCACCCCCTTCTGTCTCCAAGTGTGTTTCTTACCCAGGTGACTGTCCACCCCTCCATGAGTGACTGGGTCTTCATGCCTTCCTACAGTGCCTGGCAAAGTTCCCAACACATAGATGTTCTCAGTACATCTTGGTGGAAGGAAAGAGTGAATGAGTGGATGGGCAAATGAAAGAATAAGAACCAAGGTTCCGTCTCCAGCAGGAGCTGGCCTGGTCTATTCAAAGTGCTTTCCCCGACTGGCCTTCAGAGTTCTCTCTTCCTCTTTCAGGTCACTGCAGGGAGCCTTCACCATGGGAACATGAAGCTGCAGAGAGAATTTATCATTTCGTGGTGGGGCAGACAGTTCACTACCAGTGCCTCCAGGGATACAGGGCCCTCCACAGAGGTCCTGCCATCAGCATCTGCAAAATGACCTGTGGAAAGACGGTGTGGACCCCACCCCATCTCACGTGTACAAGCGACACTGAGCACAGTGGGTTTCCAGGTAGGCAGCTCCCTTCTAGCGTCCACTACATTGGTTTGCTCCATTGGGGCCAACTGGTGTGGAATTTCTGACCTCACCTGTTATGCGACCTTGGCAAGCCACTGGAGCTCCCTGGAGCTCCATTTTTCTCATTCTAAAAAAATAGATCAGATGAATTCTAAGGTCCCCTTCACCTAAGGTCCCCCTGTGCCCTGAGTGGGCATAAACAATCGAAGATGGACAAGTGGGGGAGATCTTTCGAGTGTTCCAAAGCACCCCAGATGCTGCCTCATGGTGGCAATGCTGAGACCAGCTGATCCCAAGATTCCACTACTTCCTCTAAGCCACTAAGACTTCCCCAAGTTCAGGGGACAGTTCAGCCTCCACCCACGCCTTCCTTGCATTTCCTGGCATACAGCGTAAACCCCTTATTCCTTCAGTGCCCCCTTGTTAGCCAGTGCCTCACCTGGAGCAGTTCCCCGCCTGAGCTTTGGTGAGAGCATGAATGTGCGGGAAGGGGCTGACTCAAGCCCGTGCACACCTTGTGCACGCTGCAGCCCACCGCTGTGGAGGTCTTTGGCTATCCTTGTTCTGAAATTGTGTTAATATTTTGGGCCGGCCCGGTGGCGCACTGGAGAGTGTGCCGCTTGGGAGTGCGGCGGCGCTCCCGCCGAGGGTTCGGATCCCATGTGGAGACCAGTTCCCGCTCACTGGCTGAGCGAGGTGCGGGTGCAACACTGAGGGTTGCGATCCCGTTACCGGTCAGTAAAAAAGACAAAAAAAAAAAGAAATATTTCTATGACCAAAACTCACTTCCTTCAACCACAGGTGTTACTGGTTGTCATGCTCACAGCCATTTCTCATGTCCCCACCTTCCTCCTGGCTGCTCTGGGATGTGTTTCTTCCCCATGGCCCACCCTTGAAAGCCTCAAGTCACTTCTTCTGTAAGGGACTGAAGAGGCAGGCCAGGCCAGAGGTGACTGACCACACACAGGAGTAATTGGGAACCTGTCACAGACAAAAAGCTACTTTGGGCATTTTCATTCATTCAATGGTTCTACTACTGTGACCATTTCCAAGTTGCAGATGAAAGCCTGGGGAGGAAGAGTCACTCAGAGTTTCATGAACAGCCAGCATCAAGTTTAAAATTCCTTTCCTGAGGCCACTCAGTCACTTCCTAGCACCCACTTCCCAGCACCACTTCCCCGAGCACTCACAGAGATGTGACCAGAACCAGGGTTTGTACCTCAGCAGGTGCATCTGAAGCCAGCTGGGAGGGCAAGGAGGGGTGGGAATGAGACCTGCGCTTGCCATCCTTGGCTCCACAGGCATCCCCGACTCTCTCCTCCAGGTGAAGAAGAACCTCAGGCAATCACAAATGCTAATCCTGAGAGCAAGACGTCCTGCCCCTTCACGACAGCAGGTAAGGGACGGCTTGCTGAAGGCAGATGAGAGCCTGATCGGGAGAGGGCAGACGGTGCCTGAACCAGCCTCTCGGCAGTTGCACAGGCGGGAAGGAGAAGCCCACCTGGCAGCCTCACCCCTCCTCCTGACCAGGGCCGTGGCCCCAAAGCCAGTGTCAGGAAGAGGAAACCCGGGCCTGAGGAGGAGGTCTCCAGGCAGAGGGTGAACCGCCAGCCCTGCTCCAGCCTCTTAGCCACCGAGAAGCCCTGACTCTCTCCAGCCTGTGCCGTCCTATAATGAGTGTAAACAGGGCGCTTTCCCCCTTCTCTGTCCCACAGATTCTCAGAAACATACAGAAGCAGCGACAACCATGGAGACGTTCATATTTACAGTGGAGTACCAGGTAGCAGGTGGGTGGGTCACTTTCTTTGTGGACAAAATGTACGCTAGACAGAGACGTGGACAAGTTGGTTGGTTGGTTGGTTGAAATGACCCCCTTCTTGCGCTATATAATGTTAATGAAAGTAAAAGACTAACCCAGATACTAGCATGATCCAAAATCCCATGAATCAGTGATGGTATGTTGTGAGCAAAGTCTCAAACTGGCCCCAACCAGTTCCTCCTGAGTTGATCTTAAAGGACAATGACACCCCATGCCTGGGGTGAGCGAGGGAGGGGGGCATATAACCAGGCAGAGAGAAGACACATTCCAGAGGCACGACAGTGGTTTCCTCGTGGGCGGCTTTGAGGCTACGTCTGCCTGAACGAAAACGTAAACAGCTGACTCCAGAGCCTCTACAAAGCAGCATCTGGAAAATATGAACACTTTCAGGAAATGTTAATGTGTTTATCATTTGTTTGCATATTTCAACATTTCTTCCACCAGATGCAAGCCTCACGTATGGTCTCCTTAAATGAGGCCTGGCCTCAGAACCTTTCTGAAGAGTGTGCCTGTCAGTCTGTCCCCTGCTCCCCAAAGTACAGCACTGCCTAAGGACAGGCACCATCCCCTCTTCCTTACACAAGTGTGATCCTTCCATGCTCACTGGGCCCTCACTCTGGCTCTGTGAGCCTCCTAAGGAGTCTTGTAGGGGAGGGAGCTGCGTTCTGAGGAGGGAGAGCAGAGCTACCACCCTGACCTGCTCAGCTGGGACCTTCTCAGTCTGCTGTGTGCACCTGGCTCCTGCTGCCCCAGCGCCAAGCCCAGCGCTCTGTTGCTGAACTACCTCTCTGTTGACAGTGGCCGGCTGTGTTTTCCTGCTGATCAGTGTCCTCCTTCTGAGTGGGCTCACCTGGCAGCGGAGATGGTGAGTCCAACGTGATCAAGGAAGCATTTCATCAAAGAAGAGAGTGGCAAAGCCCCAGGGCAGAACCAGACCCCTGTGCCCCAACCCCACCCCATTCTCTCACTCACCACCTGCAGTTTGAGGCATGGCACAGGGAGACGCCTATCCACACCTTCCTAGAGTTGATCAGAGAGCATGAGAGCAGCAGGAAATGGGAAAGCAGAGGAAGCTCACATTTGCTGAGTGCCTACTGTAGGCCAGGCTCCCTGCTTATCTCGTGTGCATTATCACCATTTACCTTCTTAGAAACCTTGGGAAGAGCTATATCTTGGAGAAATTAAACAGCTTAAACAGGATTGCATAGCAAAGACCAAAACTGCAACCTGAATCTACAGCCCAAGGTCTTCCTACCTATCACCTTTCTAGAAGGAAACCAGGGCAGTGTCTACACTGAGCTCTTCCTATCCTGTGCTCCCCAGCTCACCTTCTGCAGACACTCACACTAGCGTCCCCTCGGCCAAGAATGGAACCCACGTGTGGCCTAATTGGCATTAAGTCAGGTTCTCAACCCTGGATGCATATTAGCACAACCAGGAGGGATTTTTTTATAAAAACAAACACACACACACAAAAAACAACCAAACCCCCCCCAAAAAAAACCAGTGCTTGGGCCCTCAACCAGAATCTCTAGGGGTGGGCGCCAGATATCAGTACTTTTTTAAAAAACTAAGAGAAAATTCATCATTCAGCCATCATACAGTGTGCAATTCAGTGATGTATTAGTCCATTTTGTGTGGCTATAACAGAACTCCTGAGACTGGGTAATTTATAAAGAACAGAGATTTATTTCTTACAGTTCTGGAGGCTGGGAAGTCCAAGACCGAGGGACCTGCATTTAGGAAGGGCCTCCCCATAGCAGAAGGCAGAAGGGCAAGAGGGGGTCTGAATCCACTTTTATAACAAACCACTCTGGTGATAACGAAGCCATTCCCATGATAACATTAATCCATTCAAGAGGGCAGACTCCTCATCCTTTGAAAGCCTCACCTCTCAACACTGTTGCATAGGGGATTAAGTTTCTAGCATGAACTTTGGGGGACACATTCAAACCATAGCAAGTGATATTTAGGATGTTCACAACATTGTGCAACCATCACCGCTAATTCCAGAACATTTCCATCATCCCGAAAAGAAACCTTATACTTCCCAATTCTCTATTTCCTCCCTCCCCTGACAACCTCTACTCTACTTTCTATCTCTATAGTTTGCCTATTCTGGACATTCCATATAAATGGAATCATACAAGTGGCCTTTTGTGTCTGGGACATTAGTGCTTTTTAAAAGTCCCTGAGTTGCACCTAATATGCACCTAGGTTTGACAACCCTGCTTTAGGCCGTCGGGTCTCAAACTTGAGTGTCTGTCAGAATCACCTGGAGGACTTATTAAGGTGCAGAGTGCTGGGCCCATTCCCTAGAGTTTCTGAGTCAATAGTCTTGGTTGGGGTCTGAGAATTTGCATTTCTAACAAATTCCCAGGTGATACTGACACTGCTATTCCAGGGACCAAACTTTGAGAACCACTGCACTAGGCTAACAGTATTAAGAGTCATTATGTGACACTATTTCACAAAAAGGCAGATTTTGTTGAGAAAAGCCAGTTTCTCTCTCTCCTTAGGGAGCAGACTATAGAGACCCACTACATCTCCACTATCCAGGACATCCCCCACCCCTGCCAGAGTACACTCCGATCAACCCTGATGTAAAGTCCACAATAAGACTTCTCGGGTCTGAGAAGACACAGAGCCACTCCCCCAAAACCAAAATTCTTAGATCCTATAATCTGCCCAGCCAGAGAGAAAAATATCAGATTTTTTCTTCTTTTCTTATGTTGCTCATCAGGCCCAAAATATATACTCCTAATTTACCTCATGTGAATTAAAAAGTACAGGTTATTGCAATGCAAATGATATGCCCTCCAGGTTATTGTATTAGGAATTATTCATACCTGGCAGTCTGTCAATTTCTCTGTGTTAGCTGATTCCTAAGGTGTCTTTAGGATTAAACGAGATGAAGTGTATAAAGTGCCTGACATTTTGTAGGTACTCGATGCTTGTTAGAGCCTCTCCTTCCTCAGGCTGAATACCTGGCAAGGCTTAATACCCATCAAGGATCTTTTCACTGGTAGCTCGAAGCTTTCACACATAGGGACAAGGCTACTTGGGATTAGTAATGGTGTTTACGTTGTGAAATAAAGAACTGTGGGAAACCATGAGTTTCCACAAGGTCTCCCAGAATCACAATCTTTGGGGAGACTCAAACAAATCTAGAAATGACCCCTCTTGTCAGATTGCTTATTCAAAATCCTTCCTTCTAGAATCTAATTTCATCTGATGGTGCCCTCTTGTGGCAACGGATATCCTACATTTGAATTACTGAAAGAAAGATCACTGTATTGTAGCCAAAGAGTTTTAAACAACCGGTCTCAAAGAGCTGGCTGTTAAACGTTACCAGCACACCACTGCTTGAGCAAAGTAGGAAGTAACCAGATGCTCCTGTGAGCTAAGTAAGGACTTGGAAAAGTCTAAGACCTTATTATTCAATACAATAGCCACCAGCCACCTGTGGATATTTTTCAACTTAAATAAATTAAATGCAATTAAAAGTTCAGTTCCTAGGTTGCACTAGCCACATTCAATTGTTCTCTAGCCACATGTGACTACGTATTGAACAACACAGATACAAAAGATTTCCATTATTTCAGAAAGTTCTATAGGACAGTGCTGGTTAGAAACTAGGAGTTTCAGTTCGTGCAAATCCTTTAGCACAGTTAGTTGCTATTCTTATTCCCATTTTGCAGCTATTGTCCTCCATATAGTTAAAAAAAACTTTTTATAGGACATTTCATGCTGGGCACTGTGCCAGGAACCCAAAGATGAATAAAACACGTTCCTGCTGTTAGGAGCTTATAGATTAGTGGGAGAGAAGAGCAAGAAAAAAAAAATACTGACTTTAAATATTTGTTAAAGCCTAAGATTGAGGGGTAATAGGAGCAAAGAGAAACAGCACTTAATTCTACACAGGGGTTCAAAGAAGGCTTTTAGAGTTGACTTGCCTGAAATACGTGAGGCCAGGAAAGAAAGGCAGAAAATGGCTTCTCGGCAGAGGGAGCAGGAGGGAAGGTAAGCAGCTTGGGAACATGTATACTTGAGGCCAGGCAGAAAATGGCTTCTCGGCAGAGGGAGCAGGAGGGAAGGTAAGCAGCTTGGGAACATGTGAAATAGCCTGAGAGCGTGTCTGGGAGAAGCCGAGCAGTTCTGCCCAACTGGGCGTGAAGTGTGTGGGGCGGGGAGGGACACTGTCCTGGAAGATGGGGCCAAGCTGAGGAGCTTGGACTTTTATCCTGAGGCTGATGAGGAACTACAGAACTTAGGGGCAAATGGTAGCACTGCCATAACAGTCTGGCCACAATGTAGAGGCTGGCTTTGAGGTGGACAGTCGTGGTGGCAGTTTGATTACATCACACGATGGAATAAATCCACATGGGAGACGATAAAAGCTTGAACTAGGTCAGTGGACATAAGTTACCAGAAATACATAAAGGAAGTCAAATTAGCAGGATTTGGTGACTGACTGGAAGGGAAGGATAAGGAAGATGCTTAGTCAAGATCATTCCCAAGTTGCAGTGTGTGGTGGTTGGACCGTGGAGTCATTGTGTCCTAGCATGGAATTTAAAGTGAGGATCTCCAGTGATAGGTCCCTTGGGGATTAGCCACAAAGCAGGGCTCATCTGTAGCTCATCCCCGCCCCTGTATTCAGCCTCCACATCTGTCCAGCCCTGGAGTTGGCAGGGAAGTAGGACGGCTTTCTGGTCTCTTCTCAGATCCAGTCACAGCACAATGAATTGAATTATCATGCTGTAGGGACCACAGAGCAGAGGCTTACATTGGGCAGCCAGTCTCCACCACTGGAGAGACAGAGAGGCCTTGAGGTCAGGTTTCAGCATGCAGGAAGGTGACAATATCCTGGGGTGGAATTCAAAGTTAGCAGGCCCATGGGGAATAACGTTGAGTGCTCTGCCTGCACTGGGTTAGGTGGGACCACATTTCTTGGTGCAGCACCACACATGTGGCTATGACTTAGTTATGTCACTACAGGAGGAAGAGTCGAACAACAATCTGAAAACCCACAGTGGCAAGAAGCCAAGGAAAGCCAACAGCAGTCACGAAGCACAAGCAAAATCAAAGAAGCTAAACACTCATCCAGGAAGCATCTCTTGTGATCCCGTGGGTTTGGAAAGTTCTTACGTCACATCACAGGACTCCATCAGTAAGACAGCTCTTTACTACCCAAGAGCGAGCTCCACCTGATTCTAAACACAATTCCAGGGTCTGAAGGAAAGGGAAGGAGCAACCAGAACACTCAATTTTTATGTATTTGTGTTTATTAAAGCTGGAATGGTATGGAACTCTCTCCACGCTATATGTAGTAAAAAGGAAAGTAGCTCTATGTTAATTTCATCCCAACTTCCCAGTTTAGAAATCCCAAGCCTTTGCACTAATGTAAATAATCTTTCTCTCTCTCTCCCTCTCTACCTTATATAGCTGAACCTTGCCCATCTGGACCCTTGCCCAGCCTCTGGTTGACTAGCCCATTCTCCTGATTAAAATGCTTAATGAGGGCCGACCCGGTGGCGCACTGCTATAGTGCACCGCTTGGGAAGCGCGGCAGCGCTCCCGCCGAGGGTTCGGATCCCACATACAGACCGGTTCCCGCTCACTGGCTGAGTGAGGCGCGGGAGCAGCACCGAGGGTTGCGATCCCGTTGCCGGTCCCGGTCCGGTGCGGGGGCAACACTGAGGGTTGCGATCCATTGCCGGACACAGAAAAAGACTAAAAGGGGGAAAAAAAATGCTTAATGAACATCCTTTAAGAACTGGACTAGTGACTAGGAATCTTTTTGTCCTTAGCTCAGTCCTCTAAGCTAGTGCCCTTCTATCGAGCCTCCAGTTTTAAATTTCTAAAGCACAGAGGTCATGGCAGAATAATCTTTGGGTAACACCAAAACAGGGCAGCCAAGCCCTTGGAACTGTAGAGTTTCAATATTTGAAAGGACTTTTACTGGAGTCAATGTCAGGAACAGAAGGATAAACTAGGTCCTAGGTAATGAATTATACTTAAAAAGTGTTACCTGGGGCCGGCCCGGTGGCGCACTGCGCTAGTGTGCCGCTTGGGAAGTGCGGCAGCGCTCCCGCCGAGGGTTTGGATCCCACATACAGACCGGTTCCCGCTCACTGGCTGAGCGAGGCACGGGGGCAACACCGAGGGTTGCGATCCCGTTGCCGGTCCCGGTCTGGTACGGGGGAAATCGGTTGACTCAGGTTAACAACAACATGTGAGTAAGGAGATGGATGAAAAGTTTAAACTATCAGCCAGTTTTCATTTCTGAAAGGGAAGGTAAGTGTTGTGGAAAAGAATGGGCAGGTTTCAGCAGGGTCCAGATTCAGATTAAAAAACCGTCTGCAGTCTTTCCTGTGACCAACTGAGTACAAACCACACTCTTGTCCATACCTCCTCCTCCCCGCTCAAGTGCAAGGGCACTTCAGAAAGTTTACAGAAAATAAAATTTAAAGATAATACGAATTTTTCCATGAACTTTTTGAAGACCCCTCGTATATGTTTTTTGGGTAAACTGAAATTAAGAATCTCAGACCAGAGAAACAAATATTTTAAAAATCTTACCTGAGTAAAATTGAATTATCGTCACTCATTTTGAGGGAGGAGGGCCTATGAGATCAATTTTTTTTTTCATGATAATACTAAGATGTTATTTACCTTTTTCACTCTACTTCTCTCAAAGCATATGGTGGAATTTTCCAGAAGCTATGTGATATGTGATGATGTCATTACTGTTGCTAACATATAATGAGTTTATTAATATTGTTTATAAAAGAATTAATAAATGATGTTTTTAAAATTTCTTGGTTTTAATTCTTTTTAAATTGTTATTGAATCGTAACTGATTATACATATTTTTGGGGTTCAACGTTGACATATGTTGATCAAATCAATATTACTAGCATAGATATGGTCACAAATTGTACTTATTCTTTATGCCCCTTGTCCAATCTCTCCCTATCCCCTTCTCTCTCTCCCTCCTCCTTCCCCCTCTAATTACCTTAGATTTCTTCTCTCCTTCTGAAAGAGTAATGGTTACTCTGTTGATTAAATATGGTAACTATTGCTAGATGTGATGTACATAACAAAAGCCTTTTGGGATCCTCAATAGTTTTGAATAGTTGTAATCGTTTTTAATAATGTACAGAGGTCCTGACAAATGGTCAACAAGTACATCAACATCACTGGCCGTTTTGAAAATGCAAATCAAAACCACAATGTGATACCACTTCATACCCACCAAGATGACAAAAAAGCAAAAAAAAATTTTTTAAATAGGAACCCTCAGACACTGGGGACAGAAATGTATAATAGTATAGCTGCTGTGGAAAGCAGAGATTGGCAGTTCTTTAAAAAGTTAAATACAGACTTAAATGACCCAGCAATCCTGATCCTAGATATACACCAAAGAAAGATGAAAACATACGTCCAAACAGAAACCTGTACACAAATGTTTATAACAGCATTATCCATAATCACGAAAAGGTAGAAACAACCCAGATACTCAAAGTGTGGTATATTCACACAACAGATATTAGTTATAGGAAGGAATGAAATATTGATCCATGCCACAGTGCAGATGAGCCTCA